TCCTTCCTTCCTTCCTTCCTTCCTTCTTTCCTTCCTTCCTTTCTTCTCTCTCCCTCTTTCCCTCCCCCCCCCTTTTAAAATTTTATTATTTTTTTTTTATTGGTGAGAACTGTACAGAGGGGTTACAATTACATGGGCAAGATAATGAGTACATTTCTTATCAAGCATTGTAGCCTCCTCCTTTGTTTCCCCTTCCATCCCATCCTCCCTCTGCCCCCCCACTCAACCCCCCCCCCCCACCAAAGTTGTAAAGTTCGTTTTCGACATAACGACTGTAGGTCTCATTGTGGCAATGGGTCCACCTGTATCCCTATTTAAACGATTTGTTTTTTCCCTTCCCCTCCACAAGTTATACCAACATCAAATACAGTGAAAGCAGAGGTTATACCGTGGGGGAGGGACATACAAACCAACAAAGAAATAATCTTATAAATGTGTTAGAAACAATCTCATGAAAGGAAAAAAAAACATTTGAATACATATCTTAGGGTTCATTTCCCTAACCATGGGACCTATGTTTCTTTGGGCCTGGTTTCTCCCTCCCTCCCTCCCTCCCTCCCTCCCTCCTTCCCTCCCTCCCTTCTTTCCTTTTGTCGGTAGTAGGGCTTGAACTCTGGACCTGAGCACTGTCCCTGAGCTCTTCAGCTCAAGGTGAGCACTTTACCACTTGAGCCACAACACCACTTCTGGTTTTCTGGTGGTTAATTGGAGATAAGAGTCTCACAGACTTTCCTGCCCAGGCTGGCTTTGAACTGCAATCCTCAGATCTCTGCCTCCTGAGTAGCTAGGATTACAGGCATGAGCCACTGGTGCCTGGCATATTATCTCTATTAATAATAGCAACTTGTTCTACAACCCTGTGTGAGGTGTTCTTACCAGACTATAACTTAAGTATTTGCCTTATTTACTTTTTGTAATGTAAATGGTTCTTCTATTTTACTTGATAAGACACCTGTTAAGCCTAGAATACAGCCTTGTATTGCTTAACAGCATATAGGTGTTGTGAGAAATGTGTTGTTGGGCATTTGTGTCATTGAGCAGACATCAAACATCAGAGGCTTTACTTCAGATCCTGCAGTGTTATGAGCCACCACCATATGTGCTGTCGTCTTTGATGAAAATGTCACCATACAGCATATCATGGTTCATATTTGTCCATCCAGAGTCCATGGGAACAGATAGCTGCTCAGTAGGAGGCATGAGGATTGACACACTTCTGTTGATTTGGTAAAATCTGAAATATAAAGAGAGGCTGTGAAATACGTTTTTGGGGCTCTCTTTTGTAAAATCATAGCTACTCAGGAGTTTGAGATCTTTTTTTTTGGGGGGGGGGGGGGGGGGGGGGTCCCGTCCTGGGGCCTGAACTCTGGGCCTGGGCGCTGTCCCTCAGCTCTTCAGCTCAAGGCTAGCGCTCTACCACTTGAACCAGAGCACCACTTCCAGCTTTTTTTTCTTTTTGCTTATGTGGTGCTGGGGAATCGAACCCAGGGCCTCACGTATGCAAGGCAAGCACTCTACCACTTAGCCACCTTTCCAGCCCCAGGAGTTTGAGATCTTTAGTTCATGGTTCGAAGCCAACCTGGGCAGGGAAGTCCATGAGATTCTTCTCTCCAATTAACCACCAGCCAAATAGAAATGGAACTGTGGCTCAAAGTGGTAGAGCTCTAGCCTTGAGCAAAAGAGTTTAGGGAAGCTGGGTGCCCAGTAGCTCAGGCCTGTAATTCTAGCTACTCAGGAGGCTGAGATCTGAGGATTATAGTTCAAAATCAGCCTGGACAGGAAATCCATGAGACTCTTCTCTCTAATTAATGACCAGAAAACCAGAAGTGGCGTTGTAGCTCAAATGGTAGAGTGCTCACCTTGAGCTGAAAAGCTGAAGGACTGCACCTAAGCCCAGAGTTGAAGTCCACAACCAACCAAAAAAAAAAGCTTAGGGACAGTGTCCAGGCCCTGAGTTTAAGGCTAATGACTAATCCCCCGCCACCCCCCCAAAAAAAAGATTTGGCATGATAAACTTCTAATACACACCATTGGCTCTAAGCTACTTGAGTTTTATACCTAAATGCCCAACTGTCAGTACATTCAAAACCTAACTGTGTCTTTTCCTCCTGTGTTGCCTTTTGTTTCTTTTGCTAAGTGGAACAGGCTTAGATTCAGAAAACCCAGGGGTCATCCTTACTTTTTCCATCTCCTGGTTCTTAGAAATGACCACCAAATTTAGTTTACTGTTTTATATATCTGTAGTTCATCTATTTCCCTAGGAAAGCTTCCCCACCTCGTTCTCAGATGGAAATTCATCCACCCTATACATTCTCATAGGATCCTACATCTCCTGGGCAACACTTTCCATAATTACATTATTTGCTAAAGTTATACTTTGAGAAAACACTTTTGAGGGCTGAGAGTGTGGCTTAGTGGTAGAGTGCTTGCCTACCATGCATGAAGCCCTGGACAGGACCACATAAGCAGAAAAAGCCAGAAGTGACACTGTGGCTCAAGTGTTGGAGTGCTAGCCTTGAAAAAGCAGCTCAGGGACAGTGCCCAGGCCTAAGTTCAAGCCCCATAACTGGCAAAAAAAAAAAAAAAAAAAAAGCACATTGAGGGTGACATTGTCCAAAAAGAAATGTACTCACTAACTGACTTAAATATAACAATAAAAATAAATAAAAAAAAATACATTCAGGCATTGACCAAGGGGTCTTTGCGTGTTTTTTTTGTTTTTTTTTTTTTTTTGGGTCCGGTTGTGGGGCCTGAACTCAGGGCCTGGGCGCTGTCCCTCAGCTCTTCAGCTCAAGGCTAGCGCTCTACCACTTGAGCCACAGCGCCCTCTTCCGGCTTTTTCTTTTTGCATATGTGGTGCTGAGGAATCGAACCCAGGGCCTCAGGCATGCAAGGCAAGCGCTCTACCACTGAGCCACCTTCCCAGCCCTCTTTGCGTGTTTTTAGATCCTCATTATCTACCAGATGATAGCCTGGCACACAAACTTCATTAAATACTTGCTTAATGAGAAAGATTTTGTTTTACTCAAGAATGGAACTTGGGGGCCAGGAATGTGGCTAAGTGATAGCTTGCTTGCCTACCATGCATGAAGCCCTGGGTTCGATTCCTCAGTACCACATAAACAGAAAAAGTTGGAAGTGGTGCTGTGGCTCAAGTGGTAGAGTGCTAGCCTTGAACAAAAGCAGCTCAGAGACAGTGCCCCCGATACTGGTGAAGGGAAAAAAAAAAAGAATGAAACTTGGAGCTAGGCGCTGATGACTCACGCCTGTAATCCTAGAATCCTAGTTAGGAAGCTGAGAGCTGGGCAGTAAAGTTTGTGACACACTTACCTCCAATTAACCACTAGAAAAGTGGACGTGGCCCTATGGCTCAAGTGGTAGTGTGCTATCCTTGAGCAAAAATATCTAAGGGACAATGCCCAGGCCCCAAATTCAATCCCCAAGACCTGGGGGGGGGGGGGGGAAGGGAGGTGAGGAAATTGTGAAGGGTGACCTTGAAAACAAGGTTTCCAAGAATAAAGCTGAAGCAGGAATCCAAAGAAGTAGATAGGAGAAGTGAAGGAGTTGAGGATATGGAAATTATGGGATTGGCTGAGGGATGTGTGGAAAATAAGAGAAATGGGTGTCAAGAATGGGCAGAGTCTATTTATTAGACATTATGTGGAAAATGAACTATGTAACTTATGGGCAAGGACTGGAGGGAGAAACTGGGGGAAGGAAGGAAAGGGTAACATTGTCCAAAAAAGAAACATACTTATTACCTGACTTAATGAAATGGTAACCCCTCTGTACAACACTTTTATAAATAACAATCATATTATACTTTAAAAAAAGCCAGGTGCCAGTAGGCTTACACCTGTAATCCTAGCTACTCGGGAGCCTGAGATCTGAAGACCATGGTTCGAAGCCAGCCCGGGTAGGAAAATCAGTGAGACTCTTAGGGCATCTCCAGCTTAACCACAAAAAGCTGGAAGTGAAGCTGTAGCTCAAGTGGTAAAGCACTAGCCTTGAACAAAAGATGCTCAAGAACTGGCACCAAGAAACAAAAAACAAGACTATAGCTAATGGAGGGTATTAAAGAATTCATCTCCCTCCCCCCAAAAAAAGAACAGAATATTTGGGGAGGAAGAATGATGATGATTCACTTTACACCTTTGGCTGTGAAGAGCCATAAGTAGAACCCATGTGGAGGTCATTGGCGGCAGGAAAACAAGTAGAATTCAGGAGAGAGATATTAATTCTGAGTAAAACCAGCAAAAATTATTATTTGTAATTCCAATATAAATGGATACAGATTCAATCACAAAGAATTGTGTGTGTTTGTCTGTGTGTCTGTGTATCGTGGGCTTTGAACTGGCCTGGGCACTATACCTGAGCTCAAGCACTCTACCACTTGAGCTACACACCACTTCTGGTTTTCTGATGGTTAATTGGAGATAAGTGTGTCACAACTTTCCTGCGCAGGGTTGGCTTTGAACTGCAATCCTCAGATCTCAGCCTCCTAAGTAGCTAAGATTACAGGTGTGAGCCCACCAGTTCCTGATTACAAAGACATTTTGTCAGTGGAATAAATTCGGTAAAATTTTGGAACTTTGGGGTTTGCTTTTTTTTTTTTTTAAATAAGTGCCATAAATGTATGCTATGAACCTTTTCATTTATCCTTATGCTAAGCCAACAAGCCTCATTTTTTTTTTTGGGGGGGGGGGGTCCGGTCGTGGGGCCTGAACTCTTGGCCTAGGCACTGTCCCTCAGCTCTTCAGCTCAAGGCTAACGCTCTATCACTTGAGCCACAGCTCCACTCCCGGCTTTTTTTCTTTTTGCTTATGTGGTGCTGAGGAATCGAACCCAGGGCCTCATGCATGCAAGGCAAGCACTCTACCACTGAGTCACCTTCTCAGCCACAAACCTCATTTTAGTTATGTAATTTTCCTAAGAAGTAAATTCTGAGCTCCATGAGGACTTGCTGCATATGCTTAACTCATTTCCTCTTATTTCTCTAGGGCCTATTCCCTGGTGGATTCCAGTCAAGTGTCTACATTCCTGATATCCATCCTCCTTATTGTTTATGGTAGTTTCAGGTAAGGGTTCTCCAAAAGGATTGAATTCTGTTGTAGCTGGAGGAAGTATTGCTCTAAAAATATTGGCACCAGAACTTTGTATTCTGTAAAGAGAAGTGGGACTTTGGCAGGATTTCCTTTAAGGCAGAATTGTTCTAGTATTGTTATTGAGTTGGCTGCTGATAATCTCATTTTGGTTTTTGCTTGTTAGTACAAACATGCAAATACTAATTGCTTAAAATTCTGGTCTGAAAACAATGACTCCCTAAAAACACTCATCATTGGGAAGGTTATAGAGAGATCCTGATGATGATTGTAGCAGGGAACAAATAAATATGGAGCCAGGTGCTGATGGCTTACACCTGTAATCCTTGCAACTCAGGAGGCTGAGATCTGAGGATCATGGTTCAAAGCCAGTCTGGGCCTAGAAAGTCTGTGAGACTCTTACTTGCAGTTAACCACAAGAAAACAGAAGTAGAGTTGTGACTCTAAAGTGGTAGGACAGGGGCTAGGAAGTTGGCTCAGTGGTTGAGTGCTTGCCTCCCATGCATGAGGCCCTGGGTTTGATTCCTCAATACCACATAAGCAGAAAAAAAACGGAAGTGGTGCTGTGGCTCGACTGGTAGGGCGCTAGCCTTGAGCTAAAGAGCTAAGGGACAGCACCCAGGTAGGCCCAGAGTACAGGCCTGTGACCGTCAAAAAAAAAAAGTGGTAGGGCGCTAGCCTTGCAGAAAAGAAAAGCTCAGGACAGTGTCCAGCCCCTGTGTCCAAACCCCGCGACTGATAGAAACAAAAGTAAATGGAAAGCCAATTCAAAATACAACAACAACAATAAAAAGCTTCCCTCCCCCCCAAATTTGAAAGCTAAAATTCAAAAACTAAATTCAATGTTGTATTTACCCTGACCTTAGAGAAATCACTCCTTCACTGTGCCCACTCCAGTATTAAAAATAACAAAAATATGGAATCCTTAAGATACTAAGATTAGGATAGGGAATGTGGCTTACTTGGTAGAGTGCTTGCCTACCATGCATGAAACCCTGGGTTTGATTCCTCAGTACCACGTACTCGGAAAAAGCCAGAAGTGGTACTGTGGCTCAAGTGGTAGAGCTCTAACCTTGAGCAAAAAAAGCTTGGGGACAGTGCCCAAATCCTGGGTTCAAGCCCCAGGATGAGCCCAAAAAAAAAAAAAATACTAAGATTAAAAATTATTTATTTTGGGGCTGGGAAGATGGTTCAGTGGTAGAGCGCTTGCCTTGCATGCCTGAGGCCCTGGGTTCGATTCCTCAGCACCACATAAGCAAAAATGAAAAAAGCCGGAAGTGGTGCTGTGGCTCAAGTGGTAGAGCGCTAGCCTTGAGCTGAAGAGCTGAGGGGCAGCGCCCAGGCCCAGAGTTCAGGCCCCACGACCGGACCCAAAAAAAAATAAAAATAAAAAATAAAAATTACTTACTTTGCCTTTCTCATTTATTTTTATTTTTTTTTTAATCAGTCGTGGGGTTTGAACTACTTGAGCCACAGCACCACTTCTGGAATTTTTCTGTTTATGTGGTACTGAGGAATCGAACCCAGAACCTCATGTATGCGAGGCAAGCACTGTACCACTGAGCCACCTTGCCAGCCCCCCCCTCATATTTCTTTTTTTTTTTTTTTTGTGCCAGTTGTGGGGGCTGACCTCTGGGCCTGGACGCTGTCCCTCAGCTCTTCAGCTCAAGGCTAGTGCCCTACCACTTGAGCCATAGCACTACTTCTGGTTTTTTTCTGCTTATATGGTACTGAGGACTCGAAACCAAGGCCCCATGCATGCAAGGCAAGCACTCTACCACTGAGCCACCTTCCCAGCCCCCCCTCATATTTCTTAAGTAGTAGAATGCTAGGCTTGAGCAAAAGCTCAAGAGACTGCACTCAGGCCCTTTGTTCAAGCCCCGGGGGCAGCATGCCCACCCCACCCTCAATTTTTTCAGCTAGAAGCCAACTTTTTAAAATTTAAAACTTAAGCCGGGTGCTGGTGGCTCACGCCTGTAATCCTAGCTACTCAGGAGGCTGAGATCTGAGGATCGCGGTTCAAAGCCAGCCCGGGCAGGAGAGACCGTGAGACTCTTATCTCCAATAAACCACCAGAAAACTGGAAGTGGCGCTGTGGCTCAAGTGGTAGAGCGCTCGCCTCGAGCTGAAGAGCTGAGGGACAGCGCCCAGGCCCAGAGTTCAAGCCCCACGACCGACAAAAAAAAAAAAAAAATTTAAAACTTTAAACTTTTAGTGTTGTTAAATTTTAAAAATATTTGAGGACAGGAGGCATGGCTCATGTGGTAGAGTGCCAGCCAGTGAGCAAAAGCGCCAGACATAAGTTTGAGTCCAAAAAAAGTTGCTCAGGTGAATTAGAAACTAACTGCTTATGTTAAGAACATAGACTCTCAGGCTGGGAAGTTGGCTCAGTGGTAGAGTGCTTGCCTCACAGGCATGAGGTCCTCGGTTCGATTCCTCAGCACCACATAAGCAAAAAGAAAAAAGCCAGAAGGGGTGATGTGGCTCAAGTGGTAGAGTGCTAGCCTTGAGCTGAAGAGCTGAGGGACAGCGCCCAGGCCCAGAGTTCAGGCCCTACGACTGGATCCAAAAATGAAAAATTTTTTAAAAATTTAAAAAAAAGAACATAGAGTCTCATAGACCAACATAAAAAGATACATTATTTTGTAGCTTTTCATAGTGGGCATTCAGTGTTTTTTGGATGACTATGTCACCTTTCAATGGAAGCTGGTGGTGTTGCATGAAAATGTGTTTCAGCAAAAACAATTAGGCTAAAGTTGTAGGTACACAGCAGATGACCATCTTGCCTTAGAAGTATGGCCTGAGGTCATAATAAAAATACAGTACATGGACTGTTAATTCTTCCACTGGTTATTCCTGACTGCTGGTCTCTAGATAAATATGGCAGCAGTCCAGACATGTATGCTGTTGCCAGCTGAATACAATCCCATAGTCTTAATACTCATGGCATGTTCCAAATTTTGTTTGTTTTGGCAGTACTGGGGTTTGAACTAAGGATCTAACACTTAACAAGGCTAGTGTTCTTCTACTGAGCCACACCTCCAGCCCTTTTTTGACTGCTTTTTGTTGTTGTTGTGTTGGTTGTGGTGCTTGAACTCTGGGCCTGAGTGCTGTCCTTCACTCTTCAGCTGAAGGCTAACACTCTACCACTTAAGCCACAGTGCCACTTGCAGTTTACTGGTGGTTTTTGGAGATTAGAGTTTCATAGACTTTCCTGCCTGGACTGGCTTTTGAACCATGACCCTCAGAACTCAGCCTCCTGATCGCGGTTCAAAGCCAGCCCAGGCAGGAGAGACCGTGAGACTCCTATCTCCAATAAACCACCAGAAAACCGGAAGTGGCGCTGTAGCTCAAGTGGTAGAGCACTCGCCTTGAGCTGAAGAGCTGAGGGACAGCGCCCAGGCCCAGAGTTCAAGCCCCATGACCGACCAAAAAAAAAAGAACTCAGCCTCCTGAGTAGCTAAGATTACAGGCCTAAACCACGAGTGCCCTGCTTACTTTTTCTTATATCTAAAAGTCCACTGTCAAATTCAAGATCACAGGGAATTACCCTGTATCTAAGTTTTGGCCCTTAGATTATTTAAGTTGTTTGAAATTAGTAATACATTAGCAGGAAATGAGCCAAGTAGGCAGGACAAGGTGGTTTCTGTCTGTAATCCCAGCATTTGAGAGACTGAGGCAGGAGGATCCTGAATTTGAAACCACCTTAGACTACATAGCAAGACCATCTTTAATAAAAGAAGAAAATGAAGCCAGGCACTGGTGGCTCACGCCTATAATCCTAGCTGCTCAGGAGGCTGAGATCTGAGAATCAAGGTTCAAAGCCCTCCCAGGCAGGAAAATTCATGAGACTCTTATCTCCAATAAACCACTGGAAAACCGGAAGCAGCGCAGTGGCTCAAGTGGTAGACAGCTTGCCTTGCACTGAAGAGCTGAGGGACAGCGCCCAGGCCCGGAGTTCAAGCCCCATGACCTACAAAAAAAGAAAGAAAGAAAGAAAATGAACCAAGAGCTAGCATAAGTAATTGAGAAAGGGGGAAAAAAAGAAATGGTAAGCTTATATGTATGGAATATTGTTTAATGAATAGTCGTAGATAATTCTATATCAAAGATTCAGTCACTACAGTGACTGTGCTTCTTATGTCTCCCTTCTCCATTGAATGTAAAATGCACATGTGTGAAATCCAGTGGTGCTTTACGCATGTTTGTTACCCCTGTAGTCCATAGATCTGTTCAGAATATAGAAGAGATTGTGTTGCTGGTTAAATCAAAGCTGATCTGGTGTAAAGAAAGCAGTATTTACCAGCAGTGCTGGAGATGAAATTGGCACACCCTTTCTGACCCTTTCCAGAAGCAGCTGTGTGCTATGAAGAAGGCTCTGTGTGGGTGTCCTTTGACATTCCTCCTTCCAGGTTTTTTGATTGTTTGGGTTTGTTTTTTGTTTTTGGGGGGGTTTCTTTTGTTTTATTTTTGCCAATCCTAGGACTTGAACACAAGAATCTGGGCACAATTCCTGAGCTGCTTTTGCTCAAGTCTAGCACTCTACAATTTGAGCCACAGTGCCACTTCTGCCTTTTTCTGTTTATGTGGTAAGGAGGAATCAAACCAAGGGTTTCATGCATGCTAAGCAAGCATACCACTAAGCTACATTCCCAGCCCCCAAGTTTTTATCATAAAGAAGTAATTATCGATGTGCACAGATATATAGCTGGAAGATGCACCTGGGCTGGAATGCTTTCATCTGCAGACAGGAAAGCTCTTGAACTGATAGACCTGAAGGAATGTAGTATATTTTTTTAATGTGGCAATAAGAACTCCTTCATAATTCAAAAGGCATTTTCTTTCTTTCCCAATGTTAGCAGCTTAAAATACTCTCTAAATACTTCTCTGACCTACTTTTTTTTTTTTTTTTTTTTTGGTCTGTCATGGGGCTTGAACTCTGGACCTGAGCTCTTCAGCTCAAGGCTAGTGCTCTACCACTTGAGCCACAGTGCCACTTCTCATTTTCTGGTGGTTCATTGAAGATAAGAGTCTTACAGACTTTTCTGGCCAGGCTGACTTTGAACCATGATCCTCAGATTTCAGCCTACTGAGTAGCTAGGGTTACAGGCGTGAGCCACCAGCACCTGGCTCTGACCTACTTCTTTCATAAGCAATAGACTACCTATAAATTACCTATAAATTTTCCCCCCACAGGTCTCTTAATATGGACTTTGAAAATCAAGATAAGGAGAAGGACAGTAACAATTCTTCTGGGTCTTTCAATGGCAACAGCACCAATAACAGTAAGAAATTATATTATGTTAGTTAACTTTGCTCCTGTAGCTCTTGATTTTTACTCCAGTTAATAAGTTACTGGGTTCAAGGTTCTGTGTTTAATATAACAATAAAATCAAATCTGAATTCTATAAATCTATTACCTTTTTATGTTCTAGATCTGAACCACTGATTTCTTTTTTTGCCAGTCCTGGGGCTTGAACTCAGGGCCTGGGCACTGTCCCTGAGCTTCTTTTGCTCAAGGATGGTGCTCTACCACTTGAGCCACAGCACCACTTCAGGCATTTTCTGTTTATGTGGTTTTGAGGAATCGAACCCAGGGCTTCATGCATGCTAGGCAAGCACTCTACCACTAAGCCACCTTCCCAGCCCTGAACCACTGATTGCTTTTTTTTTTTTACCAGTCATGGGGCCTGAACTCTAGGCTTGGGCGCTGTCCCTCAGCTCTTCAGCTCAAGGCTAGCACTCTACCACTTGAGCCACTTCCAGCTTTTTCTGTTTATGTGGTGCCTAGGAATCAAACCCAGGACCTCATGCATGCAAGGCAAGCACTCTACCACTGAGCCACCTTCCCAGCCCCACCATTAATTTCTTATATACAAAAAAGTCATGTCTAAAAGCTTGCTGCTGAGATTTTTGTTTCTCAAAGATCAGACTTTATTTAAAGACACTGATGAAGCCAGGTACTGGATGCTCATGCCTATAATCCTAGCTGCTCAGGAGGCTGACATCTGAGGATTGTGGTTTGAAGGGCAGGTGAATAGACTACAAAAAGAGCTGAAGTTAGAACTGTGGCTAGAACCCTAGCCTTAAGCCAAAAAAGCTCAGGGACAGTGCCTAGTCCCTAAATTCAAACTCCAGAGACCAGCACTAAATAAACACACACACACACACACACACATTGATGATAATTTTGTGTTGATCCCAAGTTCATTCAGTGACAGGCTGGGAGTGGGGGTTAGGCAGTGCGTGGGTCTGAAGCCAAGGCTTGCTAAGCTCAGCCATGCCCTTAGCTTTGTAATTCACTTGTTGTTGGTTGTTGTTTTTTTTTTTTTTGTCGGTCATAGGGCTTGAACTCTGGACTTGGGCACTATCCCTCAGCTCTTCAACTCAAGGCAAGCACTCTACCACTTGAGCCACAGCGCCACTTCTAGTTTTCTGGTGGATTATTGGAGATAAAGTCTCATGAGCTTTCCTGTCTGGGCTGGCTTTGAACCATGATCCTCAGATCTCAGCCTCCTGAGTAGCTAGGATTACAGGCATGAGCCACCAGTGCCCGGCGCAATCACTCATTTTTAAGATAGTCTCTCTTCTTGCCCAAGCACATGCTTAAACTGATTAACCTGTTTCAGGCTTCCTATAGTTGCTGGGGTCACTAGCATGTACTACCATGTCTAGATTCTATCTGTTGAGAAGGAGTCTTATGGACTTGCCTGCCTGGACTGGAATCACACTCCTCTCAGTCTCAGCCTCCCACGTAGTCAGGATTACAGGTTTGAACCACTGGCACAGAGCCATTCAGTAACTCTTAAAGAGAGCTAATTGAAGTACTTGTAAAAAACTAAGCACTATGAGTATCTCCCCTGACAGTTAATGCCTGAAAATGACTGCTTTTGGCTAGTCAAGCACTCCACCATTTGAGTCATGATCTCAGACTCTTTTACTTTCATTATTTTTCAAATAGGGTCTCACTTTTTGCCCTAGCTGACTTAGACCATGATCTTCCCAGTTTTAGCCTTCTGAGTAGCTATGATGCCCAGCTGAATACCTGGTTTTTGTTTTAAATAGAACTATATATTAAATAGCATATGTGCAGCAGATTTATTCAGAATATCTAAAAAATAGAAACAACCCATTGATGCATAAAATAAATTCTATCTCATACAATGAGATAGAATTGAGCATTAAAAAGAATGAAATGGGCTGGGAAGGTGGCTCAGTGGTAGAGCGCTTGCCTTGCATGCATGAGGCCCTGGGTTCAATTCCTCAGCACCACATAAGCAAAAAGAAAAAAGCTGGAAGTGGCGCTGTGGCTCAAGTGGTAGAGCGCTAGCCTTGAGCTGAAGAGCTGAGGGACAGTGTCAAGGCCCAGAGTTCAGGCCCCACGACCGGACCCCCCCAAAAAAAAAAATGAAATACTGATACATCTGTACTGATACACTGCAGATGTGCCTCAAAGTATTATGTCAAGTGAAAGAAGTCGACACACTGCATATTGTGAGTCCGTTTATATGAACCTCCCAAAACAACAGCTGTATCTAGACAAAACACAGATATATGGCTTCCTGGAACAAAAGAAGGAAACTAGCTATAAATGAGGGCTCTTGTGCAGCATTCAGATTGTTTAAAAATTAGATTATAGTGATAATTTTACAGTTTGTAAGTTTACAAAAATATTGAGTTATGTACTTAAGAAATCATAAAAAAAGAAATCATTGAGTTAATATACTTAAAGTTGAGTTATATACTTAAGTTTTTATGTTATGTGAATTATACCTCTGGAATTATAGAAAAAGTATGATGCTTATTATGGAAGAGTCAAGTTAGAAATGAGTCTTGTCAAGTGCTGGTGCCTGTTGTCTGTAATCTTAGCTACTAAAGAGGCTGAGATCAAGAGGTTCATAAAAGCCTGGTTAAAAAGCCAGGCTAATAACATGGTTCAAGTAATAGAAAACCAACTGAGCAAACGTAGGCCCTGAGTTCAAACCCCCCTCCCATATTACAATTTAAATCATAATGAAATAGTACTACACACCTGCTAGAATAAGTAAAATTAAAAACCCAACCACACCAAGTATTAATAAGGTTATTAACAAGAAAGAGCCCTTTTATATACTACTGAGTGTACATTGACACAGTCACTCTGGAAAGCAGTTGAACACACTTCGGCCCAGCAGCCTTGTCCCTACTTATATACCCCAATACAAGCATGTGCATGAAGCACACACAAGCACAAGCAAATCAGCATTATGTGTAATTGCCAAGTACTTGGAAACAGCCCAGATGTCAGGCTGGATAAATTTTATATTCATACAATGAAACTTAGTTCCTAACAGCATGGATGATTTTCATAATAAAAGAAGCCAGACACCAAGAATACATGCGCCACAGTTCAGTATACATGAAGTTCAAAAACAAGAAAAATAAGATGGGCGCCAGTGGCTCACTCCTGTAATCCTAGCTACTCAGGAGGCTGAGATCTGGGGATCACAGTTTGAAGCCAGTCTGGGCAGAAAATCCACCAGACTATTTCCAATTAAACACCAAAAAAGCTAGGGAACAGTGCCCAGGCCCTGAGTTCAAATGAAACAAAGCCACATACACTCCATTGTCTGACATCTTGAATTCCTTACTGAACTATAAAGCTTGTTGGACATGTGTGGGTGGGATTTTCTTTGTTAGCAGAGAAAATACACACACTAATACTGTGAAGTCCATTATATCTGGAAATTGCTTTTTGTGCCTTTTTTTTTTAAGATTTTGTACTGGGGTTTGAACACAGGGCCTTGAACTTGCTAGGCAGTCACTCTACCACTTGAGCCACTCCTCTGGCCTGAAAATTTCTTTGTTGTTGGTGGTGGTGGTCCTGGAGTTAAGAACGCAGGGTGTAGGTGCTGTCCCTTAGCTCTTTCGCTCAAGACTAGTATTCTACCACTCATCCACTTCCAGTTTTCTGGCAGTTAATTGGAAATAAAGTCTCACAGACTTACTGCCCAGGCTGGCTTTGAACCTCGATCCTCAGATCTCAGCCACTGATTAGCTAGGTTTATAGGCATGAGCCACCAGTGCCCAAACTGGAAATTACTTTCAATCCCTCCTATTGTGTAATTTATAAGGATTTGGTAAGCATTTAGGCAAAGAGTAAAAAGTCAGTTTAAAAAAAAATGGTCTACTTGGGGCTGGGAAGGTGGCTCAGTGGTTGAGTGCTTGTCTTGCATGCAGGAGGCCCTGGGTTCGATTCCTCAACACCACATAAACAGAAAAAGCCGGAAGTGACTCTGTGGCTCAAGTGGTAGAGCACTAGCCTTAAGCTGAAGAGCTGAGGGGCAGCGCCCAGGCCCAGAGTTCAGGCCCCACAACCAACCAAAAACAAAAACAAATGTCTACTTGCTCATGTAACAGTATTTTCACAATTAAAAAAAAAAAACAGTAAAAAGCCGGGCGCTGGTGGCTCACACCTATAATCCTAGCTACTCAGGAGGCTGAGATCTGAGGATCGAGGTTCAAAGCCAGCCCGGGCAGGAGAGACCGTGAGACTCCTATCTCCAATAAACCACCAGAAAACCGGAAGTGGTGCTGTAGCTCAAGTGGTAGAGCACTCGCCTTGAGCTGAAGAGCGCAGGGACAGCGCCCAGGCCCAGAGTTCAAGCTCCACGACCGACAAAAAAAAAAAAAAAAAAAACAGTAAAGTCTATTTTATAATCAGATGCTTATTTAGCTGTGTTTATAGAATACAAAAAAATAATGTTACTGTACATAATTTCTCATTCCCATATGTTTTTCTTAGGCTGCCTTTTGGCTTTAAAGATAGTGCAGTTGGATTTTCTTACTTCTTCCTAGCTTCAGCTGCTCTGTTTAGCTTTGCTCTTTGTTTTGCCAGTCACTGGAGTTTGGCTAAAATGGAGAGATTTTTGTATTCAGTTTTGCATTTTGGTTACACACTTAAAGATTGTTGTAAATATGTCTTACATAAGCTAGTCATTATAGATATTTTTGTTCATAATTTGTAATAGATTATAAAGATGTTTTGTTTGACAGAAGAGGGAAGGGTGGGGTGTATTTTCAGATTTATATATTTCTTTTAAGAGGTTTATTTCTTATTCCTACCAATGATCATTTATTTGAGAACCCATTGTTTTTTCTAGGCCCTGGCACCTGCAATATCTTGTACTTCTTTGAACTATTATAAAGCACTTAAGTTAAAAAAAAAAAAAAGCCTTAGATATGGCTTTAGTGGCAGAGTGCTTATCTGGAATTTGAGTGGCCCTGGGTTCTAGTCTCAGTACTACGGGGAGGAGGAGATTTAATAAGATGGCCCCACCCCCAGCACTTTTTTAAAATACTCTGCAGGTAGTTTCAGTGAGCAGCCAAAATTTGAGAACCTCTACTTATTTCCTATTTAGATCCCTTAAAATGTTCTCAAAATTTTTCTACTTTACTGTTTGTGGCTATGACTTACTTGCTCTTCCCCCTTCCCACCAAAGTGAAGTGAACATGAGTATATTGAATCCAGAGGGTAATTATGGCAGTCAGTGAATTTAAACTACCACCTCCTTAAATCATGCACAAAACCACAGGTACACTCAAATAGACTAGAGTGAGTTTTTATCACCTCTCTGTGTTTCTGGTTTGGATGTGTTGTGTGTGTGTTGTTTTTTGTATCCAGCCATCCACGTCAGTGGCATAAGGTACTAGCTCCATTCAGCAAGTAATTCTTGGCACTTACTATAGTGAAAACAGTGAGGAGAGCTAGGAGCTCACACTCTCACAGGGCCTTGATACTCCATACATCACATTTTGTTTTGTTTTTGTGCTATATTGAGGCTTGAACTCAGATACTCTCACCTAGCTTTTTCTCAGTCATGACTGCTGCTCTACCATTTGAGCCACACCTCCAGTTCCAGCTTTGTATCTGTGCATGTTTGCATGCACGCACATTGTGCATGGTACTGGGGCTTGTTCAAGGCTCGTGTTTACCACTTGAGCCATATCTCTACTCCTGGCTTTTTTGCTGGTAGGTTGGAGATAAGAATCTCAAACTTTTCTAACTGGGCTGCCTTCAAACTGATTCTCAGATCTCAGCCTCCTAAATAGCTAGGAGTTCAGATATGAGCCATCAGCATCTGGCATCAGTTCCAGCCTTTTGCTGTCTCACAGCTTTGTCTGCTCAGGCTTTGCCCAACCTGTCCTCATTTTGATGAATTTATATAAGTGCATGGGCACTGTGTTTGTTATCTAAGTGATGGTTAACATGTCTTATTTCCCTTCTTTCAGGTATCCAAACCATTGACTCCACCCAGGCTCTTTTCCTTCCCATTGGGGCATCTGTCTCTCTTCTAGTAATGTTCTTCTTCTTTGATTCAGTTCAAGTAGTTTTTACAATATGTACAGCAGGTGAGTCTCTCTAATTTTATTTAGCCTACTAATAAATGTTACTTTTTTTTATCAAAAAGATGGTATTCATCATATGCCAGTAGCTCACACCTGTAATCCAAGCTACCCCAGAGGCAAAGACCTGAGGATCACAGTTCAGAGCCATCCCATGCAGACAAATCCAAAAGAAACTCCAATTAGCCATCAAAAAAGCTAGAAGTGGAGAAATGTCCAAGTGTTAGAGGGCCAGGCTTGAGCAGAAGAGCCAAGGGAGAGCATGAAGCCCTGCGTTCAAATCCTGGTACTGGTATTTTTTTTAATACCAGTAAAATTAATATGTATATATCATGCCATACAAGTTTTTATTTGTAAATTTGTCTCCCTTCCTACCCATCTCTTCCTTGAACAGATCAGTATACATGTGTTCAAACCTGAAGAAAGCAAGGTAGAATGCTCATGCACTCTATGATACCATAGCTCCTTAAGTTACCAGATAGTCCTGTTTGGCATAGTGGTCTTTGGCTGCTTCTACCAATGTCTTTGAAGATAGAAATATTGATAGCTTATCAAAGTAATTCAACTATCAACTTTCTGATTTGTTTTCAAGCTGAGCAATGATAGAAATGTAAAAATTACCAGCAATATGCCATATGTTAGGAAATTTTCCCTAGCTCCTCTACTCATCTTTTCTTGAGTTAGGAAAAATGAGAAAATCTACCCATGTGTCTGCCTACTTCAACCTTAAGAGCTTGTCTGTGCCATAGTAAAGAGAGTCTTCTGGTGATGTGTTAAATGGGTGAGGCCCTGAGTTCCCCAAACCCAACACATACACAAACACACACAAGCGCATGCACGTTCGTTCTCTAGCTGTTTCCACTTGTCAAGTAAGGTATTTTAAAAAATTTATTGTGTAATAATGCCATATAATTGATTTAAAAAATTAAAAGCATTAACCATACATTTTTCTTTCTCTAGTTCTTGCCACAATAGCTTTTGCTTTTCTTCTTCTCCCGATGTGCCAGTATTTAACAAGACCCTGTTCGCCTCAGAACAAGTAAGGACTTGTGCCTTTGCTCGGAGTTTATAAACATGTGTGGCTTTCTCTCATTGGTGGTGGTGTCACTACTGAGCGTCGATACTAAGAACACAATGCGAAGAACTTTGCGAAGGGAGCTACGCGATCTTTATCACTGGCAGACAGTGTTTCCTTTCTCACCTTTCATAGCAGAGGAATACACAAACGTTAGGAAGTAGGGGCCATTGCAGTGTGCTTCCTGCTTAGATTATGAAAAGCAAAATAGTTTTCACTGAAGCCAAGCTTTCTTTCCTGGTGAAGTAATGGAATATAGGAATAGCGGTTCCGTTCACTCTGTTGTCTATGGTGACCCAGTTATGTCAGCTATTTTGGTTCACTGCCAAAATGCTCACCTCAGTTCCTGAAGCAACTGCTCCATGGAATCAAGGGCTCTGCTGATGGGGAAGGTGTGCACTTAGAAACCAGTCACCAGGGGGACCTGGTTTTCCCTGGAATGGAGAAACTTGCAAATACTTCATTTCTGCTAAATGAATTGAGTCATGGCCTTTCTTCATTTAGTTTTCCTCTTAAGATTGTTCTCCATGCTTAGTTTCTCCAAAAAGTGACTTTTGTCGCTTTGAATTGTTAAATACACATGTTGGTAATTTGATCAAAAAAGTACATTATCAAATGGGACCAGAAGTAGCATAATTCCTCTGGGTTTTTCTAGCTTACGCTGAGAGTGTCTTGGATCTTTTGCATTTCCACTGTTCAGGTATTGCTTACTGTTCTCATCCAGCCATGAATTCTGATCTTGAAGAACCGAAGGGAAGTAGTTTGGATTTTGAATGCCATGTCCCTGTGACTCTGTTTTTCAGGATTTCCTTCGGTTGCTGCGGCCGCTTCACTGCTGCTGAGCTGCTCTCGTTCTCCCTGTCTGTCATGCTTGTCCTCATCTGGGTTCTCACTGGCCATTGGCTTCTCATGGACGGTGAGTCTGAGATTGGACATTTGTTTTCTCACAGTGCTTGCTAGCATCGATGAGAGTTGTACAGGGCTTCGTTTTGACATGTGCATACAGTGTGCCTGACCAAGCATACCCCATGCCCTTCCATCACTCGCCCTTCCCAGCACAGCCTCCCCATGCGCCACTGTTGCATTTTCACACGGACATAAAGTCTTTAACACCCTCTCTGCTTCATCCTCCCCCACAGGACCTGCTTTTTGTAAGTGTATGCCAATTGTTCAGGGGGGTCCCTGTGGTATTTCACAGCTGTGTGTACAGTATTTTAATCTTCCTGACTGCTTCCTTTCCCCATCCCACTGCCCCTCCTTCAGCAGCTCTCGTCATCCATATATGCAACGCATCCCATACTGTGCACCTGCGAACGTTCTCTGCCTCTCTGCCACCAGTCCTCAATTTAAACATGTTCTAGGCCAGGTGCCGGTGACTTATGCCTATCTCCAATAAACCACCAGAAAATCGGAAGTGGTGCTGTAGCTCAAGTGGTAGAGCACCTGCCTTAAGCTGAAGCGCTGAGGGACAGCACGAAGACCCAGAGTTACGACTGACCAAAAAAAAAAAAGTGTTCTAGATACATACAGATTCTGTAGTTTTCCTCAACAGTTTTACAGATAGCTTATTCAGAGTTCTACAATATTTTTTATCCCTTACACACCTAAAATATACTCTTTTCCCCTTCTGCCTCAAGCATCTACCAGTCAGCTTTCTGTCTCTATAGATTTCTCTGTTTGGACATTCAAGTCTGACTTCCTTCATTTAGCAAGATGTTTTCAAAACTCATCAATGTCATCCTTTTTTTTGGTCAGTGTGGGGCTTAAACTCTGGGCCAGGGCTCTGTCCCTCAGCTCTTCAAATGAAGGCTAGGCTCTACCACTTGAGCCACAGTGCCACTTCTGGTTTTCTGTGGTTCATTGGAGATAAGAGTCTCACAGACTTTCCTGCCCGGGTTGGCTTTGAACAGTGATCCTCAGATCTCAGTCTCCTGAGTAGCTAGGATTACGGGCGTGAACCACCAGCACCTGGCAACGTCATCCTTTTTGTAACTGAATATTACACACTATAATATACCATTGCATATGTAGAATACAGTATACATTTTAATGGGGTGTATATAATATATTCCTTTTTATATAGAGATATAAACATCTGTATATACTGGTTTAAGGTATAACTCTTCTCTAATGACTCTACAGCATTTCATTGTGTATTGTTAACTATCTCAGTGTTCTTGATGGTTTTAACCTTAACCCTGATGTAAACTAAGGAGTAACTAAGTTACTACTCAATTTTTACAAGGCACGACACTAGGGTGGGTATGTTCGTCTCTAATGATTGGAAGTGTGCTAGGTAGAATTCAGTGCATACATAGTTTGAGAGTTTTTTTTCTTTTATGGGTCCGGTCGTGGAGCCTGAACTCTGGGCCTGGGCGCTGTCCCTCAGCAATTCAGCTCAAGGCTAGCGCACTACCACTTGAGCCACAGCGCCACTTCCGGCTTTTTTCTTTCTGCTTATGTGGTGCTGAGGAATTGAACCCAGGGCCTCAGGCATGCAAGGCAAGCGCTCTACTACTGAGCCACCTTCCCAGCCCCAAGTTTGGGAGTTTTATAAGGAAGAGATATTTATATATATATAGAAAATACTTGCAGCCAAGCACCAGTGGCTCACGCCTATAATCTTTAGCTACTCAGAAGGCTGAGAGCTAAGGATCAGGGCTCAAAGCCAGCCCCAGGCAGGAAAGTCTGAGAAACTCATCTTCCAGTTAAGCACAAAAAAACATAGGCCCAGAGTTCAAGTCCCATTACCAGCACACAAAAAAAGAAAAAGAAAAAATGTAAACCTTATATAGAGAACTAGGATTACCGACATATACCACTATTACCACTATGCTAAGCTTATCCAGAACTCTAGAGGACCTGTGCTATAGAAGTAGTCAGAGACATGGAGGTAGCTAGCAGGGAAGTGTTAATACAGAAGCATAGCGTATTTGTGTGTGGATAGAGGAAAGTCTAGTGGAGACGGAAGAGTGAATTGCTGAAGCATTTCTGCGTGAAGGAAGGGGGTGTGCGCTTTGGAGCGAGTTGACTAACCAGGGCAGTGCATTCCCGGCACAGGAGGGGCCCCAGTGGCTGCTCCTCAGTCCCCGTAGGTCCAGCTGGACGGACAGGGCTGCTCCCAGCTGGTCTAAGTGCCTGAAAGGGAGCTCAGGGCCACCTTTTTGTCAGAGCATTGCAAACACACAGTGTTCCCAAGCCTGGTGTCCACACACCTGATGCCTGGCCGTCTCCTTCCCAGCTCTGGCCATGGGTCTCTGTGTCGCCATGATCGCCTTCGTTCGCCTGCCGAGCCTCAAGGTCTCCTGCTTGCTTCTCTCAGGGCTTCTCATCTATGATGTATTTTGGGTGAGTGTCCACTGTTCCCCTCTGTGTTTGTATCCACAACCTGGCTGTCCGGTCGCTCACTCCGGTCCTGTGAGATGCATGCGTGGCAGCTGTGCTGCAGTAGCAGAGTGGGGGTGGAGACATCGAACCCTGCAGGTCCACCTGGGAGCGGGGTTCTCTTCCGGGAACAGCAAAGAACACTGACCCTGCAGAATTCTGGGCTCAGCTCTGCAGGATGACCACCAGTGCTTAAAGCAGGCTGCCTGAAGCTCCCGGTTAAACTGCCTTTCTCCACCTCGGCAGGTGTTTTTCTCAGCCTACATCTTCAATAGCAATGTCATGGTGAAGGTGGCCACGCAGCCGGCTGACAATCCCCTCGATGTTCTGTCCCGGAAGCTCCACCTGGGACCCAATGTTGGGCGAGATGTTCCCCGCCTGTCTCTGCCTGGAAAATTGGTCTTCCCAAGGTAAGAGCTAGCTGTTGGGCCTCGTCCCATAATTGGGAGCCACTGCCTTCCTGTTTCTGCCTTGGGTGGGTGTCTGTCCTGCCATCGGCTTTCTGATCCAGAATGGGAGAGGACCAAGTTACTGCTTCCTGTCTGAGAAAGTGAGGGTGGGAAAAATTACACTCCACTAGTGTCACACAACACTGGATGGCTCCTCTTTGCACCATTTTTAATTGGCTAAAAATAGCTAGGTGTCAGTAGCCCATGCCTGTGATCCTAGCTACTCAAGAGGCTGAGGTCTGAGGCTCACAGTTCAAAGCCAGCCTGGGCAGGAAACCCCATCTGAGACTCCTGCCTCCAATAAACTACAAGCAAAGTCAGAAGTAGAGGTATGGCTCAAGTCGTAGAGCACTAACCTTGAGCACATGACCTTTGGGCCTGGGTACTGTCCCTGAGCTTAAGACTGGCAAAAAAAAAAAAAAAAAGGCTGGAATTAATCAAATGTAGATCTTCACTTACAGACATTTGTTTTTTTTTTAAGTTCTTGCTGGGCGCCGGTGGCTCATGCCTGTAGTCCTAGCTACTCAGGCTGAGATCTGAGGATCGCAGTTCAAAGCCAGCCTGGTCAGGAAAGTCCATGAGACTCTTAGATCCAATAAACCACTAGAAAACCGGAAGTGGTGCTGTGGCTCAAGCAGTAGAGCGCTCGCCTTGAGCTGAGGGACAGCGCCCAAGCCCAGAGTTCAAGCCCCACGACTGACCAAAATAACAACTTACCGTGACAGTGGTTCATTTCTATAATCCTAGTAGCTATTCAGAGAGCTAAGTCTGAAAATGAAAGTTTGTAGCCAGACAGGGCAGGCAAGCCACAGGACTCTTCATCTCCAGTTAACCAGCATAAAGCCCAAAGTGGAGACATAACTCGAGTGGTAGAGCACCAGCTGTGAGCAAAAACAACAACCGAAGAGAGCATAAAGCTGTTTTAAGTCCCAGTACTCACTCTCACATTTACACACACGTTCTCTTTGTTATTTTTTGTTGGTCGTGAGCCTGAACTCTGGGCCTAGGCACTGTCCCTCAGCTCTTTAGCTCAAGGCTAATGCCCTACCTCTTCATACATTCTTTTTGTAAACTTACAATGTTCTGGTAAAAATTATACTGTTCGTGGTAATACAACCTTGTGAAAATTAATGCACTGTGTTAATGCCCTCTCTGATAGCTAAGTACTTGTTTGCAGAATGAATGTGACTTGGGCCTAGTGGTCCACACCTGTAATCCCAGTCACTCGAGAGGGGAAGGCAGGAAGCCTGAGTCAGAGGCCAGTATGGGCAAAGTTAATGAAACCTTATCTGAAGTGTGGGTAGAAATCTCTACTGTGTGAACACTGGCAAGAACAAATAGAAACAAAGGGCTGGGGGCACAGCTCAAATAGTAGAGCACTTGCGCAGAGGCCCAGGTTTAGTTGTAAAACTGGGGAAAGAATGAGTGACGTGCCTGGTGTTTGCAGAGGCGGTGGCTGTGCTGCTCACCCCAGCCTGCGTGTAGGCGGCCTTCTCGGAAGCGGCTCCCTCCTCAGTATACTGAGCCTTTTAAGCTGCTCCCTTCAAAGTTAGTGTTCAGCCAGGCACAGTAGTGTTGTGCACACCCTTAACCCAGCCCTCTGGTGGCTGACAGGAGGATTGAGACTGAGGCCAGCCTGGACTACGTAGTGAGAGCTTGTGTTGAAACAGTAGATTTCCGTGTGCCATTCACGGAAGTTCTTTGACCTCTTAAAAGGTGGGCAGACCCCACACAGGGTGGAAGCTGCTTGTCCAGCATGGCCTCCTAACATGCCGCTCTGCCTTGCAGCTCCACAGGCAGTCACTTCTCCATGCTGGGCATTGGGGACATTGTGATGCCTGGCCTCCTGCTGTGCTTTGTCCTCCGCTATGACAACTACAAAAAGCAAGCCAGTGGCGACTCCTGTGGCCCCTCCGGCCCAGCCAACATCTCTGGGCGCATGCAGAAGGTCTCCTACTTCCACTGCACCCTCATCGGGTACTTCGTAGGTAAGAGGCCAGTGTGCCCAGCCCAAAAGATGCCACCTGCTTGGTGCCCAGAGGCACACTGCACACACGTGCAATTGCTGAATGGATGGCAGAAATCCTCTGAGACTTCAGTGAATGCCTATTAGGTTCCTGCTTCCATAGACCTTCATGCATTCCAGCAGGTCTGTCACCTCTCACTCCCCAAAGGCAGACCTACAGGCAAACAGGAAGAGACTGTTATGCTAGGAATGGCTGTAACCACGCTCACACACACCTGCTGTGGCAGGGGATAGGGAAGAACACACCTCCCCTGAACTAGCACAGCACCGCACACACCTGCATCATTTCAGCCCAGGACCCTAAGGGGCCAGGCAGTGGCTCTACCCCCGTTGGGCACACTGAGAAACTCAGAGGCAGTGCAGAGCTGGAATCTAAGCCAGGTCTCCTGCTTGTGCAGCAGCGTCACACACCGCAGGAAAGGGCCAGGCATGTGCTGGGGGGAAGGGCGGACATGAACACTGGGTGTGCTGGCCAGGACTGGGGGCGGGGAAACGGTGGCTGGACCACAGGCAGCCGCAGGTGACAGCGCCTCTCACTCACAGTGTCTCTGCTCCTAGGTCTGCTCACTGCTACCGTGGCGTCTCGAATCCACCGAGCTGCCCAACCTGCCCTCCTCTACCTGGTGCCATTCACCTTATTGCCGCTCCTCACCATGGCCTATTTAAAGGTACTTGAGAAAGCAGTGGCTCTTGTCCAACTGGGGCGGAGTGTTGCTCACCTCGCTGCAGGCCGTTCTGCTTCAGCTCTGAGCTCTTGATCGCAACTGTGCTTCGCGTGCTGGACTCAAAACTCTCAGGACTCAGAGCCACTGGTCAGACCACTGTACCACTGGCTTGTGCATTAATGACCTCTACGCTAGTGTCCTGATTTTTCCTAAAGCAGTGTTGTAGGGCAGGCAAGGTGGCACCTGTGTGTAATCCCCTCTGTATGGGAGATTGAGGTGACTCAGGTTTGAGGATACCCTGGACACCTTAGACCCCTGCTTCAGCCAAAAAGGGCTGCGGAGGTTCCAGTGAAAGTGCTTTCTGGGCATTTACAAGGCCCTGGGGGGAGCTCAGTGAGGCTGTTTCCTCCCCTGTACCAAAGAGAAAAAAGCAGTGCCCTGTTGCCGCCTACCGCTTTCTAAACCCCATGCTAAATTCATGTGTGGAGCAAATTAAGAAAGAGTACTGGTCCTGAGGCAGTACGTGATTTTATAATGAGATTTACAGAGATAAGCAACTCCCATTTTACAACCAGGAAGCTGGACAGGTTTGTTGACTTGTCTAGATTAACTCACTGTGCAGAACTTGCATCAGGACCGAGCGCGGACAGAACTCCTAAAAGGAGCTTCTCTCCTGGAGCTCCGGTTTCCCGAAGCGTTCGGTGCCCATGTCAATCTGTAACTCAGCCCAGTCCCTTGTTTCCCAGGGTGACTTGCGGCGGATGTGGTCTGAGCCGTTCCACTCCAAGTCCAGCAGCTCCCGGTTCCTGGAGGTATGATGGATCCTCAGACGTGACCACAGTGGCCGTCGTCATCCTTTCCTCACCTCGTGGTTTTGTTTCCTTTTGAAGCTGGCCTGGTACGGAGCGTACCTGCCCCGGGACTGCGTGTGCCTGGCGCGCATCTGAAGGAGCCCGGCTGCAGGAGAGGGTGCCGAGGCAGCCCCCGCGGCGCGCCGCCTCCATTTTTGTGGATCTGCACTGACTGTAACCCTGCGGGGAGATGGAGCTGTGACTCTAAAAGCTACGGACGGCGAGGAGTCGTTCTGGCGCTTTGGAACACTAAAAGGATCAAAAATGTTAGCAGAGGAAGCTTCTTCAGTGACCCTCCAAAACTCTGGGACCAGCGTCCCGTGGGGTTCAGCCTCCGAGAACCAAGACAGAAGCGCTTCTGTCTGATACTCTTCTTTCCTTTTTTTGGATTTATTAAATATTTTCTGTGGTGTGAAGTGACTTATTAAATCCACAGACATTGTGACTTCTTACAACACACACGTAAGGATTTGTTGTAATACGTTCATGTCCACCCAGCGTCGTGTTGGCAGTGAACAAGGGCACGGTTTTTATACAAACGTACAGATACATATATATATATATATACACACACGTCTATATAGACACACACACGCGCGCGCATAGATATATACGAGTAAACAGAAGACAGCCTGCCAGGACGGTGCGGCGCGAGCCAGGCTGCTGGAACTCTGAGCATGTAGAGCAGTCCGCGTGGCCTCCCCGTACGAGCTGCGTCTCCCCACAAGCAAGCGAACCTGTGGGCACCGCACCGCACCCGGACTGGTGGACTCGTGGGCTGCAGGGGACTTGTACTCTGAGCAGTGTAGCAAACTAGGGATGAAAAGTTGAAGACTTTTTGGCCCTTTCTTTTTACAGCTTCTCCCTCGCAGGATTTTTCGTAGTTTCTTCTTGAGCCAATGCATGTATGATAGCGGCCAGCGGCCTTGTGCTTTCTGATCATAGTCATGTACTCCCTGTAAATACATTTTTCTATTTTATATTTTTTTGTATTTTTTTGGCATTTTGTTTCATTGGTGTGCTGTATTTTCCATGCCCTCAGTCCTTTAAGAAAAAAAAAGAAAAAAAAAAGCAACACAGTCCTGTCCTTGCCATTGTGATTATAGTCTTGCTTTCCCTGTGGTGGTGGCTGAGTGCTGGGGACAAATGTCACTGCTCCTTGTCAGGCATCCGCGGCTCACGCCTGTAATCCTCACTACACAGAAGGCTGAGATCTGAGGATCACAGTTCAAAGCTGACCCACCCAGCCAGGCAAGTTTGTGAAACTCATGTCCAGTTAACCACCAAAAAGTTGGAAGTGGTGCTGTGGTTCAAGTGGTAGAACACCAGACTTAAGCAAATAAACTTAGAGACAGCACTCAAGCCCTGAGTTCAAGCCCCAGGACCAGCACACACAGGCATCCATACAGACATAGCCACTGCTTCTTTGAGACTGGCACCAAAATGCTAGGACTTGGGGAAAGCACAGGTGGGCCTGGCCCGCAGATTCTGAGCCTGTGCAGCGGCCTCTGCTGGCAGGCATTCATTATGACCAGCCTTTGTCACTTCAGCCTCATGGTGGCGGAGCACCTAGGCATTTCCTGCCGCAGCTCTGGTTCAGTTGTGAAGATGTCAAGGCATTGAAACTGGTTCACCAAACTGAAGGCAGAGCTGAAGACAGACTTGAAGTGTGGCTTCGTCAGTCTTCAAAGGACACAAGTAGCTAAACAGGATGGAGCTGAGGGGACTTGAGGAAAAACTCAGCTGAAGGACAGAGAGCTGTAATTAAATGGTGCCAGTTGCAGTGGCCCCAGCCTATAATCCCAGCTACTCAGGAAATAGAAATCGAAGGATCATGGTTCAAGGGCAGCTGAGAAAAAAATGACCAAGATCCCATCTGAAAAAAGGCCTAGTCCTCTAAAGGTTGGGGGGGGGGGGGGAGAGGGTGTTCCTTCTTTTTGTCCACCTGTTAAAAATAGAACCTGCTTTGTCTGTTCTCATGCTACAGCTAACTACACCCAGCCTGCTGCTGATGGCAGAGCCTGAGAAGAAAGTAGCTGGCTGCTGTGAAGTAAACTCATCAGTAAGAGCCAGAGGTGGGAGACAGGAGGAGGGGGCAGGGGGAAGAGAGATGGTGGGGGGGGGGGGGGCGTTGTTAAACCTCTTTGTATAACTAAGTAATGAAAGAACAAGAACTGGTGAGAGGGAAGTGGCGCTGTGGCTCCAGTGGTAGAGCGCTCGCCTTGAGCTGAAGCGCCAGGCCCAGAGTTCAAGCCCCATGACCAAAAAAAAAAAAAACAACTGGTGAGAGGTATTGGAGAGTGATTCAAATAGTAGAGTGCCCGTTTAGCAAGTACAAGGTCCTGAGTTTAAATCCCAGTACCACCAAGGAAAGAAAATAAAATCTTGCTGGTGGCTCAACCCTATAATACTTAGCTACTTAGGTGGCTGAGATCTGAGGATCATGGTTCAAAACCATCCTGAACAGGAAAGTTTGAGACTTTCTCTAACCAGCAGAAAGCCAGAAGTAGAGATGTGTGGCTCAAGAGGTAGAGTACCAGTTGTCAGTGAAGAGCTGAGACAGTGCTCGGGTCCTGAGATCAGGGCCCAGCACCAGCACACACAAGTTGGGGGGGGGGGGGGGTGCGTGGATGGCTAGGAATGTGATTTAGTGGTAGTGTTTGCCTAGCATCCATGAAGCACCCAGGCCCAGAGTTCAAGCCCATGACCGACCAAAAGAAAAAAAGCTCAGGGACAGTGCCTGGGCCCTGAGTTCAATTCCCAGGACTGGCAAAAAAAAAAAAAAAAAGTTTCTCTACTTCCAGCAGTGAAATTGCATCTGGACCAATGGCTTTCAACAAGTGCCAACCTCACCAGACCTGGCACTCAAGTCTAGCCAATCCCAGTCACAGAACTTGAGCCTCTTCCTTCTGGAAGGGACAGACCAAGTGAGACTTCCATCCAGAAAAAAAATCTCCATGTCTGTGCAATTTTTACAATTAACTGGAGATTCCAGTAGGTTCTGACCCATGTTTGCATGCAGGCAGACCCTTCCAGAGCAGCACCTTGCTCCCTGTCCTTACCACCCCAGCCACACTGGCCCCCTCAATCTTCCCTTGGGGTTTAAGGCCCTCCCCAGGCCTCAGAGGCTTTGTCAAGTCCACGCGCGTTAGACGGGGACGCAGGTGCTTAGCAAAGCTCCCGCACCGCCTGCTCCCGCCGCCCTGTGGGGCTGCACTGGCCGCTGCTTTGGTTCGCTTGCTAGTGGACGTGGCCGCCTGTGGTCAGACACCACACTAACATACGAGATCGTGGTTTGAGACTAGGAGGGCAGGAAAGCCCAAGAGACTCCTCTCCAGCTAACTGGCAGAAAGCCGGAAGTGGAGCTGTGGCTCAAGTGCAGGGTGCTAGCCTTGAGCAAAAATGCAAAAAGTGCCCACACCGCCCTGAGTTCAAACCCCAGGACTAGCAAAAACAAAAGCATCAAGTAGCAAGCTCAGGCTGGCATGGCTCCTTTGGCTCCTAGTCCATTTCTCTGGCAAGTTACGAGACTTCCCTGTGCAGTCGAGCCTGTGAGCCTGGCACTGGGCTGAGGGTACCAAGGTGGCAGGATAGGTTCACTTGCTCATGAGCGCCCCACCTAAGCCCCACAGAGTCCAAGAAGGAGCCTCTGCTACAGGGGCACAAGGCTTGGGAGATGGCCCAGGAAGTGTGCCAAGCAGTGGGCAGCAGTGAGGCATGCCTGCGAGGCGTGAAGGGCAGGGAGCAGGTGTCCACAGGACGAAGCAAGCTGCTGGCAGCCCAGCCCAGGGCTCCCAGTGCCACTCCCCCAGCCTAGCTTAGAGATTCCCACCTTCCAATGCGGCATTGCCCCGCCCACCCACGTCGCGTGGGTGTGGCCAGCCAGCACCGGCCCTGAACTGCATTCTGTTTGTAAACGGATTCTACCATTGGAGACGGGGTCCCCTCACCAAGGCAGTTGGTGGTCTTGTTCCAGATTTAGCCCACGTGGAGAGAGCACCGGGCAGAGCAGAATGCAGTCTCAGAAGGCTTGGGGTGGAGGTGACGGCATTCTGTAGATGAGTGGAGCCTGCCCCCACCCCTCCACAGCCACCAGGAACTCCCTCCGAGCTCTGCCCTGGGGCTTGTGTCCTTGGGCACCAAGCCCTGGCCTCCTCACCTTCCCCGGCCTGTTTCCCAGAGCAGACTCCGCCTGGGGCAGCCCTGCCGAGAGATGTGACAGCTCTGTGCTTGCTAGGCAGATGTTCTACCACTTGGGTCATGGCCCCAGCCCTCTGTACTAGAGCTTAAACAAGGCCTGGGTGCTGCCTCTTAGTTTTTTCTCTCAAGGCTGGCATTCTACCATTTGAGCCACAGCACCACTTCCAGCTCTTTGCTGGTTAATCAAGGATAATAGTCTCACAGAATTTCTTGCCCTGACTCCAAGCTGGGATCCTCCGATCTCAGCCTCCTGAGGAGCTAGGATTATAGGCGTGAGCCACTGACTCCCAGTTTTTTTTGAGACAAGGTCTTGCTATGTAGCCAGGCTGGCCTCAAACTCATGACCCTACTGCCTCAGCCTCTCCAGTGCTGGGATTAGAGACGAGCACGACCACACTCACTGTAACCATCTTCTAACATGTCTGGGGTCTACGATCTGAGTTTCTTGGGGCACCAACATCTCCCGTCTGTGGTTGGATGCTGGGACGAAGGCCCGTGGGCACCTGTGGCTGATCTGCTCTGGGCCTCCCGGGCTGCGCGTCTCCTGCTGGTCCTACACAGTACTGCTCAGTGACCTGGCATCGGATCACATGCACCCTTCGGCCAAAGTGGGGGATGCTCATAGGATCCCCACTGTTCCCTGTCGCTGTCTCTTTTATATTTACAACCACTTTCCTTCACTAGAATTTTCTTAAAGTCTTTACCATGTTTACATCAATCTGTTTTTAAACATCACAATGTTTTTCCCTAATCTCTTGTCTTCAAGAGTCCCGCTGTGTAACCCAGGCTGGCTTAGAAGTTAGGATCCTCCTCCTGCAGCCTCCTGAGTGCTGAGATTACAGGCATGCTCTACCACGCCCAGCTTCCTTTAATTTCTGTAGCACTTAAGATTTGACTGAGGAAGGGACCCAGCAAACCTTGCCAGCGCAGGATCTTTGGGGAAACTAGAAGTCATCTAAACATACACACACACACAAACTGTTTCTTGCTGATTGATAAAGGTTGTGTTTCCTGAGTGTTATGTTCTTTCAATAGTATGGTCTACTCAGAAAGGCTAAGCCAATTAAAGCAAATAATGGTCTCTGCAATGACTGCCCGGCCTTCAAGACACAGAAACAGCATGAGAAATGCAGAGAAACAGCAAGCCCCATCTGTGTGAAGAGCAGATAAGAACAGGAGTAGCAGGAGGCTGGGGCTCAGGGGTAGAGGACTTGCCGGCATGTGCGAGGCCCTGGGTTCTACCCACCACCACAAGTAAGTGAATCCGTGGCTGGCTGGGTGCGGCAGGTTATGCTGGCACGCACTGTCATCAGGCGGATGAAGCGAGAGGCCGCTCTGAATAGCACAGTGGGAACACTGACTCGAACACAAAAGAAGCCGGGTGCCAGTGGCTCACGCCTGTAATCCTAGCTACTCAGGAGGACTGCGGTTCAAAGCCAGCCTGGGCTTGAAAGTCCATGAGACTCATCTCCAATAAACCACCAGAAAACTGGAAGTGGCTCTGTGGCTCAAGTGGTAGAGCGCTATCCGTAAGCTGAATTGCTCAGGGATAGTGCCCAGGCCCAGAGTTCAAGCCCCATGACCCACAAAAAAGAAAAAGACATCAGGAGCAGTGATCCAAGCCCTTCAGCTGCTTGGAGGATCACTGTTGGAGGCTAGTGGCTGGGTGTGGCGGTACACACGTACTATTCTAGCACAATAGCTCCGCCTAGTGGCCAATTCCTGTCATCCCCAGTGACAGGAGAAAGCATGAGAGTCACAGCCCAGCCCGTGGGGCATCAAGTGAGACCGTACACCAAAAACAGCCAACACAACACAGGCTGAAAGCATGGCTCAAGAGTGCAGTGCTCAAGTTCAATCCCCAGGACCATGGAAAAAAATTAAAAC